TTTAACGCTACTTATAGATTAGGCGCTTATATTTACTCTACTATACTAAACTATAATTATACTATACCTAGCTATAGGCTTGCTAGCGGTACGGCTAGTGTATTTGGTAAATATATCGATATTATCCGCGGTATAGTAGCCTTTTAGTGTTAGCCGTAATCTTATTAACTTCTACCTTCCTAGCGTTATTATCGTTCCGGCGGTAGTTGCCTATACGCTCTCTATTTCGTCTTCGTCCGCTAGGCTATCCTATATATCGAATTCCGGTAATTTAAGATATCTATCCTATTTAATACTATCTATACTTCCTTTGTCTTCCTATAGCGCTAGTACTATTAGCGTTAATATTATTGCTAGAATAGCTTCTATTGTGCCTTCTTTATTTACGTCTTACTATATACCTTCTACTATCGATCTGTCGTTAGCTTGTTCGGCGCTCTAGTCGCTACCTTAGATTATATATAAGTTAAGTCGGGCTCGCTTCGCGGCATTATTTATAGTAGAATCGTGCTTAGCAAATTCTTTTAGTACGACGCGTTTCTCGTACTTGTTTCTATATTGCTTATAGCCGTAGGCGCGTTTCTCGCACTTGTTTCTATATTGCTTATAGCCGTAGGAGCTTTTAAGTAGCTAGTTATATAACCTGTATTCGATATAGTAAGACATTACTATATATATAGCTAGCTTTCGATAATAGGCGCTATTATTATAGCTACTATAGGTTTATCGTATATCGACGTATACGAAGTTACTAAGGCTCTTTAGCCCTACTATAAGTATAGTACTTAGCAAACCCCCCTTACTACTACGAAGTTAGGTATAAGTCGGGGTCCGACTCGATATCGATTCGTAGCCTACGGATTCGGCAAAAACTCGGATTTATCCCGTTCGATTATACTAACTTAATATTACTCTACTAGCGCCTCTTACGATAATATTTAAATACTAATTTGTATACCGACTCGCCGTCCGACTCGGTCGACGGTTACTAGTTAGGACTAATCGGAAAATTAATACTAAATATAAACGACCGTACTATATTTCGACTAGATTTCTACGTTACTCCTAACGCCCTAAGGCCTGTATATTATACCGTAAAATGCGTTGTATATATTTAATTCTTTATACGTATAGAAGTAGCATTGCTCCGGTTTAATACTACCCTATAGTATTATTAATTACGTTAAATTCGCCCGGTACTACTAAGGCTTGCTCTAGTTATATTATAGCTAGGTTGTATTCCTAAGCAAAGTAAACGAATAGCGCTCGAGTAACTGCTAGTAAGTATTGCTTAGCCGACTTAGTAACGACGTCGTTTAAGGCGGTATCTAATAAGCGGTTTATATCAAATCTAAGGCCTCTAAGACTCGTAGCAGTTACGACTACCCTATCGGTACGCCTATTAGATAGAAGTATAAAGCCTTATCCTATCGACTCTATTTGATTTTTATATATACGCTATTATATATACGCTATTATATAGACCTATACGCCGACTTATTAATATTAACCTATGTCTTAACCTCTAGCGTAGCTAAGTATCGGGTCTCGCATCGCTCTAGGGATAGTGCGCTAGTTATCCGCTCCCTAGCTAATAGCACTATTCTATTAGCTAGAGCCCGCGGCTCTAACCCGCTTTAGGGTTCTAGGTATTAAGGTCGGCTAGGTGTGTTTCTAGTCGGGGTCGAATTGCCCTTATACTAGGCTATATCTTCGACGTAGCGAGATCTAGAGCTAATCGTGTCGATATAGGTGCTTTAGCCGGGTATTACCTACTCGGTCGCCTATACTTAATAGGATATTGTAGGTTATAACCTAAAGTAGATCGGCTTTCTATACTAGTAGGCCGGGGAGGGTAATAATACTCGCGTCTACTATTTTCTAGTCGGTAGCAATTATACTACTACTAGTGCCTCTTTCTATTTTATAGGCTAGTTCGCTAACAAGGATTTACTACTCGATCGCTCGTACCTAGAAGACTAGTTTATATACCTCCTATACGATCTAGTTCTAGCTAATTCTAAGCTCGCCGACTATATTATATTTCCGGATAGCAGTATATTAGACTAGGACGCTAGTAAGGCTCGTGCTATTGCTATAGTCCGCGGGGTAGATAAGTAGTATATCGATAGTATCTAGATAAGTACGTTTTACTATAACTCGAATGTTTAGCTACCGCTAACCCTAAGTAGTACGATAAACGTTTGCTACGGTTAGCTTAAGGCAGTATTGTATACTATCGCAGGTTAGCGTACGAGCATTGCTAGTCTAGTATAGACATATGCATTATTTCTATATAGGGTTACTAAGTTCGAGGTCGATTAATAATTTAGAGGCGGATTAATACTACGACTCGGTATTTTAGAGTTAGCCTACACTTTTCGGTAATACTATTAATATATTAAACTTATATCCTTCTATATTATAATGCTATTTTCTAGTATTACCGTCTTCGTATTAGACGCTTAGTTAGCGCTAGACTAACCTATATCCTATATACTAGCGGCAACTACGCCTTCGCGGATTGTCGAATTACCTAGAAGTGACTTAAAACATTCCGGCATATATAGCGACTAATTTGATTCTAGATACGTATGCCTATACATTTTATCGCGATAGGCCTTAATATAGATTAATATAGTACTAAAGAGTTTAGCTACTACTAGTTAAAATTATTATCCTAGCTACTACCCTAGTATTCTACTACTACTACTACTGCTACCGACTCGCTATAGATAGCCTACTTAGCCTCGATTCGTATAAGTTCCGTACTGCTTAACTTCCTGTTATCTAGTTTCCTTGTCCGATCTAGCCTCCCGGCTACTAGATCTATATCCTATTACTACTATTACTACTACCGACTTACTACGGATGCCCTACTCGGCCTAGAGTCGTATAAGTTCCGTACTGCTTTACTTTCCGCTATCTAGTTTCCTTATCCTATCTAGCCTCCTAGCTACTATATCTATATCCTATTGCTACTATTACTACTACCGACTCGCGGTAGATACCCTACTCGGCCTAGAGTCGTATAAGTTCCGTACTGCTTTACTTCCCGCTATCTAGTTTCCTTGTCCTATCTAGCCTCTTAGCTACTATATCTATATCCTATTGCTACTATTACTACTACCGACTCGCGGTAGATACCCTACTCGGCCTAGAGTCGTATAAGTTCCGTACTGCTTTACTTCCCGCTATCTAGTTTCCTTGTCCTATCTAGCCTCTTAGCTACTATATCTATATCCTATTACTACTATTACTGCTACCGACTCGCGGCGGATAGCCTAATTAGTCTCGACTCGTACGAGTTCTATACTACTTTAGGTCCCGCTATATAGTTTCTTGTCTTTTATAGTATCTCGTTATAATTCTCGGTAGAAGTACTATAGGATTTTCGTCGCCGTCGTAGTTATACCGTAGTTAACGAAGGTCGAGCCTAATAACGCCGTAGGCTCGGATCTAGTACTAGTATATTAAAAGGGCGTACAAGGCTGCAATTATTATTAAGCAGCTAATCCCTTCGTTATAGGCGAAGGCAAATAGCTCTACCTATAACGAAGAGGTTAGCTACTTAATAATAATTACAGCCTTATATACCCTTTTAATATACTAGTGCTAGATCCGAGCCTGCGGTATTATTAGGTTTATATCGAGTCCGGGCGCTAGATTGCTAAGGTATATATCTAGTATAGGTAAATACGGCCTTAGTCGTATAGCTAAAGATATAGTAGTAGTAGTATATAAATTGCTAAAGTTTATTCTCTTAATATTAAATTCTTCTTCTTCTTCTTTTCCTTCTACTAGACGAGACTACTCTTATCTAACGTTAAAAACCTAAGAATTACTACTATAACTCTTAGTCGGGACGCTAAACAAACAGGTATAGCTACGCTCGCGAAGGAGGTCTACGTAGTATACTAGTAGATAGATAGATATAGCCTTTATCGTACGGCTAGATAGGCGGCATATTGCTATCTTAATTGTTAAAGTTCGTACGCCTTAAGATTGATCTCGTCTTTTATAACTAAGTAGTAAGCGGGTCGTACTCTGCCTTAAAGTCCTAAATATGCCTATAGCCTAACCTTATATAGATCTTCTTAGCGATACTATAGTCGACGACTATACCTACGAGTAGGTTCTAATAGTTATTATATATATCCTACCTATAAGTCGGGTAGAAACGAGTATAGTAATACCTACTAACGATAATTACGGTTATCTTCGGATACTTCTCTTTACTACTATAGAGCTTTATAAAGGCCTTTTTAGGACTACCTAGGTTACTATATAGTATATTGCCTCGATTGCTCTTACGGTTAATAACTAGGACCGACTACTTATTAAATTTTCTAGGTCTAGTAAACTTAACGCTCTATAAGTTCTAGTAGTCCTTCTATAGTATACTAGGTTTCGAATTCGAATTATAGCCTACGCGAGGAGTATCTAGGATGCTGCTAGGCACTATAATTATACTAGTACCTACCGAGAAGCTAAATAGCTCTACGGGACTTAACTAATAATTACTAGTAGGATCGGTAAGATAGAAAAGCCGCGGACTATTCCTAAGCCTAGTACCGGGAGTTCCGGTAATAGATATAGCATCGAGGTTTAGAAATATAGCTACGAATTTAAGTATCTTAGAAGTCTAGTCGCCTCTAAGTAGGCGTCGATAAGGCTAATTAGTACAGATTATATATAGCTCGGTAGGTCGGTATTAGGGATTAGCGCGTATACTAACGTTAAGTACCGGACTATCTAGTATCTAGGGTGAATTCGGTGCTATCAACGGAAGTAATTATCTATACTTAATCTATCGCGTCATAGTATATAGGATGCTATGGTCGACAAGGCTGAATCTAACCTA